CATGAGAATGTCCACCTCAGCTTTCATGCTAAGTTGCTCATCTTCGATCAAAGACAAAACATATTCCAGTAAATGTTTCTGAAACGAACTTTTGAAAGACCAAATCACGCCCTGATCTATTGATTGTAACAGTGAAGAACAGTTCGGAGACAGCCAATTTGACGTTGGAGAATACTGTGGCTTGGTCATGGCAAAAGGCGTTGTCCATAAATTGTAAGATAGAGCGCCTTTGAGAAACCGGTTCGCGGTTGACATCGGACAGCCAACTGTGAAGTAACATGCAAGTCATCTATGCGTTCTTTGAAGAATTATAACTGCATAGAAGACTTTTTCTAACTATACCTCGGAGGCATCGTGGAGTTCGAAACTTTTCAATCATCAACGGTGATAACTCTTCTCCAGTAATGCTCCCACAAAGCAGTAACGTGACCATACCTTTGGATTTCTTGGGTCCAGAAACTGTCTTTCCTTTTAGACCCGTTTTTTTTTTACCTTTTTCATTTATTGAATATACCACATACATAAAACTTTCAGGAAGGGGGCGTCGGCCATACAAAGGCTGTCTGGGAAGACGGGCGGTGGTGGAGCGATTCGAACCGGGGACAGGTCACAAGTTGGTGACCGAACTACTTGGCCACCACCACTTAATGTTCTTTCTGGGATCTGCTTGTAATACAAAGCTGTTTCATCTGCATTGACAATATCACAGTCAGCATATCCACGTATTAACTGCGGTAAGCTCTAAACTCGTCCACTGCATCACGTGGTACCGCTAAACTTTCGCCACAGACCTGTAAAGTAATGCACATGACTTGCTTATTTCTTTGTGCGATTGAATACCATATCTGTCTGACCAAGAGCCAAACCAAGCTTTGGAAGCCTGGAAGTCATTGCGATGCATTCTTTCGGCTAGCTGGATTGCCTTTTTATGTACGATGCTCTCCACCATTGGGAACTCCTCGTGCTTCTTCCTCATAGCAGTAAACCAAGACAAAGTTGTCTCATTCACCGCCGTGAAGTTTTCGTTGGTTTTCAGGTGGCATCCTTTCTCAGATGTTCCAGCGTTCAAAAATTCCCCGATAGTCATTCGATGGGATACAACAATGAAGACAGTTTTCGTGAAATTCCAAGTGACTTGGCTACGGAGCTCTGAGTTGCACCTGGCGGTTTCAGCATTTCCAACACATTCTGCTTTTCTCTGATCGAAAGTTGCTTGCACATTTTGACGTCAAATGACACTGTCTCTCATCACTTACATCGGTGTCCGCTTCGGAAGGATTGTCCAATCAGTGAGCAGTGCCATGAATGCGTCACACTAGGTGCAACGCCATTGGTTGAGTGTGATATTTCAAGGTGGATGGTCAATGTTCGTCCCGAACATCGGTCAACGACCAAGTGAGTACGTATTAGGAACTGCGACATATTGAGGAGTGCGACAGCGCATAGTCAGAAACTACGTTATTAAGCGTATGGTTGGTTTGGGTTTCAAAAAAGTGGAACGATATTGGAAAATGCGACATAGCAGGAGATTGACTGTACTTTTGTTTGTTTCCGGAGAAGTGAGTTCATTCGGAGTGGGTGGGGAGACAGACCCGGTGACGTTTGACGGCCAAAACACCAAGCATCTTGTGGGGTTCCCAATCGGATGCGATTGGTTGGATTCGCTTGAAGTAGTAAAGTGGAAAAGTATCACGTAACTGCAGTCCACCTTCTGAAATGAAGGCGACTTGAGACATAAGTTACCTTGAGTGGTATAGGGCATTTCGATTGAATGAATTGTTTCCATCTACCTCAAGGAAAAGGACTGCCTCCGATTTGTTTGGCTGATGTTCCGGTTTCAGCAAGGAAAATCGAACGAGTTCTGCAGCAATGTTCTGAATCGCTTATTCTACCAAACTACAAAAAAACCCAGAATAAATCCCCTTGTGAAAACCACAGAGAAATTAACTTAGTCAATATCCATCCACTAAGCCTCTCGCTAATACCATTTTAACCCTTCAACAAATTTTAGAGCACAGACATTCCTTGTGAAAATCCATTGTTTTGTCCACGTTCTAAGAGCGCCCTTCTTTTTCGACCACAACACATTCTGGGGCTGCCTCCCTTGAAAGGGTGTACTCGGGAAGCTTAGTTAACCATTGCGATCCCTTAATCCGAACAGCCAAAGATGCGTTTGAGCTTCTTGTTCGTCATTCACTTTCAACTAAGAGGTAGGTAGCAAGAGCTGTGGTGTTGGTAAATTTCTAAGTGGCAAATTCTCGAATATGGAATATGCAGACGACACTGTACTCCCGAGTGTACGTCCAGATAAGTTGTGAGTCCTTCTCGATCGCTTTAGCTACAGAATCGGCCACATAGGTAGAATTGGACTTCTTATTTAGGGGACTCAAGACTAGTCTTACCGATGGTTAGACACATTAAACTATGCGACTGTCAAACGATGGCACCCGTGCCTCCATTCACTTTCTGCGCAGATATAGTATACTTATCTTGTGTCTTTATTTGGTAGTTGACTTTTGTCTCAGGTGGTCAATTTACTCCTTCCTCATTGATCAACTAAATAACTAGCCAATAGACAACAACCAAAAGCATCGAGCGACCTTGATTGGTTAATGACAGTATCAACTGATTTCGAAAGTCAGGTGCCATCGAGGCGACATGATTTGGTACCAAAGGGACCGAGGTGTACTGCGTCACTCTTCACAGAGCTGTACTCAATTGTGAGACAACTGTATGAAAGAAGTGCACGTCGAGCCGTGGAACAACCGGTCTATGTGTTCACGAACCTCGTTATCGCGACCTGTAACACGTAGGTACAGTGTCTGAGTGACTATCATTGTTTGATCACGGTCATGCAATTACGTCTTCAATCCTCGCTCCTCAGGTCTGATTATCTATCTATCAAACGAACAAACACGTCTATTCATTAGTCTGAGTGGCTAATCGAATCTCACAGAACGATGTAGTGTGCGTCTGCGGTGTTGGTGGAGGAATAGAAGACGGGAAACCGATCAGCTACGTGAAATATCGCACAGTAAGAAGAATCAAAATCGCATACCAACGAAGACAGAAAAAACGGTGAATGTGAGTAGGTCGGTAAACAGACAGACAGAGATAGGTAGATAGAATACAAGTGTGTGCGTGTGACTGAATGAGGAGGGGCTGGGGGAAAAGTTGCTTTCTTTTTCGTGGTCCGGAAGAAATGAGGTAGAGCCGAAACAACAATATACATGAGTAGCTAGTCTCCCACCGTCCACAAAAAAAGATGATAGAAACAAACAAACAGCTGGTGGTATACATCCATAACTTATACAAACAGATGGGACAATGGTGAAAGGATAAAGCAAAAATATGTGATATAGAATCCTCAAATGTACCAGGAATAATAGTGATAATGATAATCGTGATCAAAGTGGGGATCAGGGATGTCAGGGGATTGGTTAGGATCAGGGATGATGGTGATGCATGGTAGAATGAAGCCGAATGACAGATGTCTCATTTTCCGATGCAACGCACCAATAGACCGACTGACCAGCATTTACTCAATCATAGATACAATGAACAAATAACACGTGGCATAATTGAGAAAAAACAAAACAAATGATGCTGAGAAATGAGTTGAGAAAGGTCGATGAAATGGTCGGACAAAAGAGATACTGTCAAGTACAGTTGATGAGGACTCGATAGGTTAGAAATCGTGTGTGTGGAAGACGATATACAACCACACAGAAACGAATGGTATGCATAGTCAGGTGCGACTCGTCCGCACACGAGTAAGATCATCTGTTAGAAAGAGAGATTATCAACCAATCAATTCGCAAACAACATTTTCCTATCTCAACCTGGACAAACGGCTAGTACTGGCGTGTGAGAAAGTGACAGAATGGGAACAGCAAGGCCAGCAGACGGAATAGGTTCGGATGAAAGTTATGGACGGACACGTCAACCCGGGATGCAAACGAAACTGACAGATTATCAGCAAACTTTCGTTACAAAGGGTCTATTTAGTGCGGCATAGTGAAAGAGGTAAGCAGGAGAAGTGAATGAAGATTTGGACGAAATAATATAATCATAGCAATAATAATCATGTGGGATACTGCAAAGAACACTGTAGAAATGGAGGTAAGAATCGGTACGGCCTGTACATGACGGAATGCATCAACAAGAGCACAAGCCTGCACACACACAGTCCTTTGGGGAGGAGAAAAAAAAAGATGATTTGGCAGAAGGAAATGGATTGGAAAACATCAGTGTCTGACTGACGAGTGAGTAACGGGGTAATACTCCAACTCCTACGACTAGCAGCATTACAACTGCGACTAGCAGTACAACCATTACTCTGTATGAACCACATATTATTCGTTCAAAGAATGTGGACTGCATGTCGAGGAAAAAACGGCTATAAGACGACAGACAAGGCCTAGCCACGCCTGCACCGATAAAAAAAAGGTCGGTATTGGGTTCGCGGGTATAGCGAACGCCAGCGTACAGATGGGTGGCGGGGGGGGGATAGAAAGACAATTTATACGGTACAGTATGAACAATGGTGTACCGTAGAACGGCGAGAAACAAAAATTCTCATCTGGACACATGAACTGGAACAGTTCGCATTTGAGGATGGGGGGAGCTTTGGTAAAATGATGATAATGGAAGTGATGAGTACATTTTTCAAAAAAATGTTCTGTTCTCTTATGAACGAGCAGAGGAGAAAGAGAGAAGAAGGGATTAGAGGCATCATCTTTGGTCTACTGAATTCAGGACATGGAGCATCGTAGGAGAAATTACTGAAAAAGAAAGGAAGAAGACGAAATTGTGCGCACATTGACAGAAACTACAAATCGGGGGATAAAAAGATAAGGGATCACTTCGGTCCTCGTATTGGCAAGCGTCTAAGTTGTAAGAACAGGCCAGTTAGGTCACTTCGTATAGGAATAGTTACATGAAGGAGAAATGGAGCAAACCCACAGCTACGTAACATGGCTGCTCGTGAATGTAACCAATTAGATTGTGAGAGTGGTCAAAAAAGTGATGAACAAAGTTGGCTGCCAGTGGACGGAGAAGAATCTCGCAATACGGGCAGTAGTAGTAGCGGCAGAAGGCAATGAGATAGATGGCACAGGTGGACGCAATGACCCGGTTCTACTCATACCGTCCAATCGAGAAGAGATCATTGAGGAGGCGGAACCGTCCAAAGCGGTTGGGTTGGGCTGGTCACCAACAGTCTCACCAGCTGAACCGAGAATCGGTGGTAAATCCAAATCGAACAGGGGATTTGTGTCACTAATGAATGGATTCGGTGGTCGGGGATCGTCAAGAGAACCGTGTCGAACTGATGTATCCGGATTGGATGAATGGTGCTCATCGACACCATGAATATTTGGCGGGAATAGATGTGCGTACAATCGAGAAGCGATAGGTGGTGGTGGTGGTGGCGGCGGCGGCGGTCCCGGTTCGGCTGCTGCAGAGTGGGATGGAACGTGACTGTCAGCGCTGTTCTGTGACGAGACAGACGGTGGAAGGTATTGGGCCGTATTTTGACCGTCTTGATTCCACATGGGCCAGAACCCATAGGCACCGGGCGCGTTCGAGTAATAGTAAAACGGATAACCTGGGTAGGATGGCTGACTCTTGCCAACTGCA